ACCTGAGGCTACTCTCCAACAACAAGGACACAGGAAACAAGAGTGGTTAGTTTTCATCATTCAGGGTAGTAAAACAATTACTATTGTAGGATGAACACATTAATAAATGCATTTTAAGCTTTTATGACTGCTCAGGCTGAGACAATGCAATGAATTAGTGATTCTCAACTCTGGCTTAAACACCAGAGTCATCCTGAGAGACTTTAAAAAATGCTAAATCCCTCCTGAAGATTTGAATTTGAGCTGCTAGATGTGGGGCCCAGGTATGTGCTTTAAAGAGCTCACCTGCTGATTTAGTTGAGGATGACCTAGCTCTACAGACATGAGGAAAACATCCTGCTGCTACCTAAGCTAACAGAGGACTCTCATCCAAATCTAGCCTCTCTTGCTGGTTCTCCTTAGGGCCAGCTAAGAGCCCCTTTGGTCTTTTCTTTTGGGACTTGATGGAAGGTGACAAGTGACCACTTTTTTTGGGGGGGGGGGGCGGGTTGTTGTTTTTTGAGACGGTATCTCCTGTAGCCCAGGCTGGCCCTGAATTCATGATCCTCCTGCCTCTACCTCCAAGCGCTGGGCTTACAGGCGTAAGTCAACACACCCAGCTCAAGATTTTGCAACTTTTACTACAAGCTGCAGAACTGGTTCTTGTTCTTTATCACTCTTGAATTTCACTTCTCATTCTGCCTTCCTTAGGGTTGTGGGTGTCTCAAAGGCAGTAACATCCAGGAAAGTGCTTTGTAAATTGTGAATCTATTTGCCAGCACGATGTAGGCAAATAATAAGTGTTCATGGTGCGGAGACTCTGTAAAATGGTCTTTGCTAGTTCATCTTTATTGACATTTTGATATTACTGTTTCCTTTTTTAAACCCCAAGAACAATTACATTAAGAGTTTAAGAAAAAAACCAGCACAGTTTAGGTTAAAATCCTGTCAGCTGCTGAGAGGCAGAAAAAAAGTCATGCCTTTTCAGTGAGGCATGGGAAAGAAGTAGCTTATTAAAAGAGGCACAAGCACTCCTAGGAATGCAAGTGGGTAGTGAATAAGGAGTCCCAAGGTCAGTATTACTGTTCCATTATATCCTGGACTCTTGCTGATTGACCCGTGTTTTTCTTAGTGCAGCATAAATAAACTTTGTGTGTGAACAATATTCAGCGAGGTAAAATCTGACGAACCCAGATGCCATCAATTGACATCAGCAACCAAGTCTGTGGTTTCAATGTCTGGTTTCCCTCCTTTACCCAGGGCTCTTCATCCCGTCTACAAAGCTCTTATTTGTTGCCATACTGGGATTGTGTTAGGCTTGTACTCTGCCATAAGGTAAATTTCTCGCATCACCCCGCCCCCTTCTTTGTAGGTCAGTTGTTCTTGAATTCATAATCCTCCTGTGCTAGCCTCCTGAGGGCTTCGATTACAGACAGGAGTGCACCACCATAGCCATTTCCTTTTTTTAATCCCTCTTTCCCTTTTTGAGACAGGGTCACATTTATATCCCTGGGTGTCCTGAAACTTTCTAGGCAGACCAGGATAGTGTTTAACTCACAGCAATTCTCCTGCCTCTGTGTCCTAGGATTAAAGTAGACACCAACAGCCAGCAAAAATATTATTGTTGAGACCAGGTCTTGCTATACAGCTCTGAGCTTGTGTTTATTCTGCTGCCCCTTTCTCCTGACCCGTGAAAACAGTCTTAATGTTTTTCCTTTTCATTATTTTATTACGTGTATTTGGCTGAATGCATGTCTGTGCACCACAGCATGCCTGGTGCCCATGGAAGCCAAAAGAAGGCATCAGATCTCCTGGAACTGGGGTTACAGACAGTTCTAATTTGCTATGTGGGTGCCGGGAATTGAACCTGGGTCCTTTGGAAGAGCAGCCAGTGCTCTTAGTCACTGAACTATCTCTGCAGCCTCTACAAATAGCTTTAATGTGTATTTTATGTTCCATTGACTGTGCTGAATTATGGGGAGAGACTGAAAAACAAACATCAACAAACCAACAACCAACCAATCAAGCAGACAAGACAGTGTCCTTACAAAGGACCCTCCAATGGAGGAGAAAGAAGACAAACTGCTGATGTGGGGCTGGCTCCGTAGGGAAAGTGCTTGCCGCCTAAGCACGAGGATGTGAGTTTGGATCCCCGGCACCGACATGAAAGTTAGGTGAGGTAGCATCTGTAAACCCAACCCTGGGGGTGGGGTGGATACAGGTGGATCCCGGGAGCTCACTCTCTAGCTAACCCAGTTAAATAGCAAATTCCAGCTTAAGTCAGAGACTGTCTCAAGAAATAAGTGGAGGGGCCAGTGGACATCTCAGCAGGTAAAGGCTTGACACCAAGGCAAAGGCCTGTTTGATTTCTAAGGACTCATACCACAGAAGCAGAGACCTGATGCCCCAAAGTTGTCTCCGGCTTCCACACATGCACTGTGGCACAGCTCTCTCTCCCCTCAGAATAAGATAAATGAATGAATGAATGAATGAATGAATAAAATGCCTGACTTCCACACATGCACTGTGGCACAGCTCCCCCTCCCCACAGAATAAAATAAATAAATAAATGAATAAAATGCCTGACTTCCACACATGCACTGTGGCACAGCTCCCCCTCCCCACAGAATAAAATAAATAAATAAATGAATAAAATGTCTCTGACTTCCACACATGCACTGTGGCACAGCTCCCCCTCCCCACAGAATAGGATAAATAAATGAATAATATGTAACATAAAAATATAAGATAAAAAGTGAGAAAAGATGCCAGGTAGTGGTGGTGTACACCTTTAATCCCAGCACTGGGGAGGCAGAGGCAGGTGGCTCTCCGAGTTCGAGGCCAGCCTGGTCTACAGAGTGAGATCCAGGACAGGCTCCAAAGTTACACACAGAAACCCTGTCTTGAGAAACCAAAAGGACTATGTACTCAAAATTATGATTTTATATGTCACAGGTGATAGAGGTTGCAACTTTAGATACAGCAGCTGAAAGGAAGTCTCGCTTGAGAAACCTGAGCAAAGACCTGGCAGAGACAAAGGAGTGAGTCAGGATGGTATTCCAGGCATTCCAGGCAGAAAGAAAAGGCCCTTAGGCAAGAGCCTACTCTGGAACAGTAAAGAGGCCACTGTGTCAGAGAAGTGTGTGGGGGCAAGTGAGCTCTGGAGGCCCTTATAAGGATCCGGCTTTTGCTCTGACAGGTGAGAGCTACTGGAGGTTTGGGGCAGAGCTGGGGACAGTATGGGACGTAAGTTTTACAGGATCACTCACTCAGGCTAGAATGAGTAAGGCGAGGAGGAGGGAGACAGGTTAGGAGTGAAACTCAGGCAGAGATGATGATGGCTGACTCAATTCATGATGGTAACAGTGGAGATGGAGAAAGGCTGGTGGATTCTGAGTATATTCTGAAGTAGTCACGTAAAAACATGCGAGAAAGAAGTCAAGGATAATTCCAAGATTTATTTTTTTAAATACATTTTATTTTATAATTATGAATGTTCTGTCTGCATATATGTATGTGTACCACATCTGTGTCTGATGCCTGTGGAGGTGAGAAGAATGTATTAGATCCCTTGGAACTGGGCTTATGGATGATCCATATGTGTATGTGTACCACATCTGTGTCTGATGCCTGTGGAGGTGAGAAGAATGTATTAGATCCCTTGGAACTGGGCTTATGGATGATTCATATATGTATGTGTACCACATCTGTGTCTGATGCCTGTGGAGGTGAGAAGAATGTATTAGATCCCTTGGAACTGGGCTTATGGATGGTTGTGAGCCACCATGTGGATTCTGGGAACTGAATGTAGGTCCTCTGTCAGAGTAACAAACGCTCTTAACTGAAGAGCCACCTCCCGAGCCCCAACTCCAAGGTTTCCGGATTAGAGTTTCTAACTAAGGTAATGACGCCCGCGGTGGGGTAAGCAGGTTTGGGTGGTTATCAGAAAAGCAGTTTTAGATATGTAGTCATGTGAAGTTTGACATGCCTAAATGCCCATCAGAAGCCAAATGCAGAGAGATATCAGAGACCGGAATATGCTGAGTCTCAAATTCAGGGAAAAGATTTAAGGTGGTAATGTAATCCTGGACTTGTCAGCAAATTTATTGTCAAGTCTAGATAAGACCATCATCAGTGGCTTGACAACACATAGAAAAAGGCAGCTATGGGGCTCCAGGATACTGCAGTTCTTAAAGCTTTCTGAACGCAAGATCCCTTCAAGATACTTTTCTTGTTTATTTATTTCCGCTACTTAATGTTAACCACGTCTAGGCCGGTGCTACGTGAACCAGACTGGCCATAAACTTACAGCAGCGCTTCCTCAGTCTCCGGAGTGCTGTGACTACAGGCACATACCACCAATTCTTTCAATTCTTTTAAAGTTTATTTATGTGTGTGTGCACATGTGGAGGTCAGAAGACAACCTTTGAGAGTCACTTCTCTCCTTCCAGGAGGGCCCTAGATGTCCTGAAACTCAGTCTGTAGGCCAGAATTCAGAGAGCTACCTGCCTCTCCAAAGCAGTTTTTTTTTTTTAATAATAAAGTTTTAAAAAAAGGTTTTGAGCCAATGGACATTTTAACTGTTTTATTACTTTGAGCAAACAATAATTTTTTTTTTTTTGAGAAAGGTTCTTTCTAGTAATCCTCTTGCTTTAGCCTCGTAAGTGCTAGGATTCTAGGTAGGCCAAACAAATATTTATTATGTGATTATTATGTCCTGACATAGCCACCTGAAGTGAGGGGACACAGAGCCACTGTAGTCAGAGGAGACAAATGGGAGTCTGTCTTAGTTGGGGTTCTATTGCTGTGAGCAGACACCATGGCCATGGCAACTCTTTTTTTTTTTTTTCTCTGTGTGTAGCCCTGGCTATCCTGGATCTCGCACTGTAGACCAAGCTGGCCTCAAACTCACAGAGATCCGCCTGCCTCTGCCTCCTGAGTGCTGGGATTTAAAGCGTGTGCCACCATGCCCGCCAATGGCAACTTTTATAAAAGAAAACATTTAATGGAGGTCTGCTTACAGTTCAGAGGTTCAGTCCATTATCATCATGGTGTGAAGCATGGCAGCATTCGGGCAGACATGGTGCTGGAGAAGGAGCTGAGAGTTCTACATCTTGATCCCCAGGCAACAGGAAGGAATCTGTTTCCACACCGAGCATGGGAGACCTCAAAGTCCACAGTGACACATTCCCTCCATCAAGACAACAAAACCACACCTCCTAATAGTGCCACTCCCTTCGGGGGCCACTTTCTTTCCAACCACCAGAGTCAAAACCCCAAAGGTAGAAACAGAATAAGATGTAGTTGGACAAGAATGGTCTTTTTAATTTTCCTTTTGTAGTGCTGAGGATTGGACCCAGGGCAGAGCAGGTAAGCACTCTATCACCGAGACATCTCCAACCCACTTTTCTTAAAATTAAAATTGATCTTACTGATTATTATTGTGTGTGTAGGATATGTGTGCGGGTGAATATGAAACTGCACCAGAGTGGAAGTCAGAGGTCAACTTTGTGGCCTTCATTCTCTCCCAACTCAGGCTGCCAGGCTTGCATTGTTGGTAGAGGGGCCAACACTCTGACCCACCGAGCCATCTTGCTCACCTGCCCACCCTTGTTAATGAGGCCCCAAAAGGCCAAGCTTAATGGTGCAGGCCTATAATCTCAGCAGCTGGGAGGTGTGCCGGAGGATCGAAAGTTTAACGGAAGTTGGCACTGGCCACCCAGCCCTGCAACCTGAGTTCAATCCCCAGGACCCACACGGTGAGAGAAGGGAACCACAAATCGTCCTGATTTCTACATAAGCGCAGAGCATGTGCATTCTCCCTCCCCTTCCCCAAATGTTTTAAAAAAAAAGTTTTAGGTCATTCTTGCCGCCACAGCTAGTTCGAGACCAGCTTGACCTACGTGAGACCCCACCTCAAAAATAAAATAACAAAACCAAAACAAACAGCACAAAACAACAACAAAAGTTTCTAAGAATGGGATTCCCGTTCCACGGTGCCCGGAGACGTGGAACAATTACTTGGAGTTGTCGTTTCTCCTCGGGGAGAGCAAGGGGGTAGGCTGCCCCCTCTTCTGGGCGCCTCGGACTAGGGGGATAGGGTGACACTGGCCACAGGAGTGAGCCCAGCGGGCCCCCGCGTCACCACGCCGGTCCCCGGGAGCCGGACGGGGCGGGGCCTCCCGGGGCCGCGCCCCGAGACTCACCTGAGTCGGGAGCCGTGACTCACCTGCCCTCCTTCGCCCGCCCTCCCCGCCCGCGGGCTCTTCCCGGAGTCGCCGCCCCTCCTTCCCGTCGGGGGTCCGGACGGCGCGCCGGGAGGCCACACGGAGAGGACTCCTGGGGGTCCCGGCGTGGAGCGGCCAGGCACCCCCTTCGGGGCGGGAGGCTCTCCCGGGGAGAGCGCCGGCCGCGGCAGGCCGGGACGCGCCGGGGTGGAGGCCGCGGGAGGCGCCGGGAAGAGCGCGCCGAGGGAGGTGCCGGGAAGGGCGGGCGCGGCGAGGGGCGGGCCGGGGGCGGGGGCGCCGGGCGGCCCATTTCCTCCTGGGAGCCGGACGGGCGGGAGACAAAGCGGCGGCCGTCGGCTTGGCGCCTCCGGAGTCGTCCCGCGCTCGCCTTCGCTCGCCGCAGGTAACTCTTCGGACCTTCCCCTCGGCGCGCGCGGGGCCCCTGGTGGGGCGCGGGGGGGGGGGCCTCTCCTCAGGCCGGGGTCCCGGGGGACGGCGCCGACTCTTCGGCGGCCGCCGCCCTCGGGGAGCGGTCGGGCCAAGGGTGGCTTCCCGGAGCCGCCTGGGCCTGGGCGGGCGGAGCCCGACGCTCGGAGAGCGGAGCGACCGCCGCGGCGCTGCCTCGGCAAACTTTCTCCCTCTTGCTAAACTTTGTTTCCCCGGGGCGAGGCGCGCGCTCGCTCGCTCGCTCGCTCGCGGGGCCGGCGTCGCGCCTCCCTCGGGCCGCCTCCCCCACTGGGAGGGGACCGCGGCGGGTCCCTGGCCGTCCGGCGGCGGCGGCGGCGGCGGGGTGGTGGTGGGACGCGATCGTGCCCCGGGTGGGTGCCGGCCGCTCCCCTCCCCCTCCCCGCCCTCGCGACTTTGGGGCGTTTGCGGGAGCAGGGGTCCCCGGGAGCTGGCGTTCCCAGCCCGGCCCGCGGAGTCCCGGGAGTCCTAGCTTCCTGTTCTCCGGGCGCTCCGGGCCTCCAAGGTGCGCCACACCCGTGGGGACCGGTGGCGAGGAGTTTGTTAATCCTGACTTTTCGAATTCACTCCGCCGCCTGCGCTGCCTAACTCGACTGACTGCACTCTCGGTTTTCGGGAGTGGCGTCACAGCCTTGTCCCTCACGGAGTTTGTGTTACCGAGAGCCGGTCTCGCTAAGTAGCCCAGGCTGGCCTGGGACGCTCGGGCTCCCTGCCCCAGCTTCCCGAGGGCGGGCATTGCAGGCGTTGCGGTGTCAGTGCCCCGCCTTTCACTTTAAAAGGAACGTGTGTGTGTGTGTGTGTGTGTGTGTGTGTGTGTGTGTGTGTGTGTGTGTGTGTGTGTGTGTGTGTGTGTGTGTCTCAAATCGACGGTTGATACCCTCTCTTATGTTCTTCGTCTTCATAACATTTTTTTCTTTCAAAACAATTTTTATGTCTCTTGTATACAATTCACAATAATTTATAATGTAAACTTAGGCTTACATCACTGTATTGTGTATTGTATCTTTATGATATGTTTTTGAAGAGGTTATTTTGTGCGTAGCACTGATTTTTTTTAAAGACTACAGGTGGATGTTACTTTAAGAAACGGAATTTGTTGTTTACAAAAGGATGGAGTGGGGAAATCATTTGAAGCCTCTGCTCAGTTGTTTATAACTCACTAAGTTAGAAAATAGGTTTTAAAAATCCTCTTTCTTTGAGGACTGGAAACTTCTCTAGTGCCTTATCCTTTCTCCCCAGACTGGATCTCACTATGAAGCCCAAGACAGCCTAAGCTTCTTGAGTGCCGGCATTCAGGCGTGTGCCATGCATAACACCTGTCTGGGTCACGTTGTGTATAATGCAAACGGCAGACACTTGGACTAGGATGTTAACACGTCTATGAGAATAAGTCTGGGAGTTCTGGAAGGTGGGGGGCCTGTGAGCTGGATGAACTGGACTTCACATGAGTTGAAGTCATGTGACAAAGTAGGGAAAAGCAGAAAAGGGCATGTAAGTGGGGAATCGTAATATTACTGTTTTTTTTCCCCCTCTTTACTCTTCACCCACTCCTTTTCCTGCATGTGATTATATCCTGAGTACATTGGTTTTCAGTAGCAGTTGTGTGATACCGCCTCCATTCCCATCAGAAACATTTTATATATTGATTAGAGATGAGGGGTGTCTTTTTTCTTTTTTCCCCTAGTTGAGATTCGCTACCTTGTGCCTTCTCCTTTCTCCTCCCCTCTCCCCCTTTGGGGAAACAAATCTAGAGCCTTGTACATGCTAGTCACATGATCTACCATTGAGCTGCACACCCCCCTTCCTCTGCCATCAACCTTAGCTGCTAGCATCCAGCTCCTCATTTTGAGTGTAAGATGTTTCTCCTGAGCCACATGGGTCTCCTTGTATATCCCACAGCTTCTCAGACTAACTGTATCTGAAGTAAGACTTAATGCTGTTTCAGAGCTCTAAACTAGATGTGAAGAGCCAGAGTAACTGGTACCAACGGTCTTGAAGTTTTTTAGAAAGTCACATTAGTGACAGCACAGACTGCCCCTCTTGTTGAAGGTGGTGATTAAGTGTGCTGACTAAACCTAGACAGGAATAAAGGAATAGGGTCCTTAACAGGTGTCGGTGGCCTGAGTATTGGCACAGTATTTGAGGCCTACAGGTTTAGAGGCGATCTTTGGATTGTGAGTACTGACGAAGGGAGGTCTCACCTAAGGTTGTCAGGAAGGCAAAGGCCAGGTCACAGATGGCCATGTTTAAATTTTTTTTTTTTTAATTTTTTTCATGTTTAAATTTTATTCTGAAGCTGTAAGAAGCCATTGTAGGGCCTTTCATGATCCGAGCAGCTTTTTTTTTTTTTTTTTGGTTTTTCGAGACAGGGTTTCTCTGTGTAGCTTTGCGCCTCTCCTGGAACTCACTTGGTAGCCCAGGTTGGCCTCGAACTCACAGAGATCCGCCTGGCTCTGCCTCCCGAGTGCTGGGATTAAAGGCGTGCGCCACCACCGCCCGGCTCCGAGCAGCTTTTTATTTCTTGTTGGTGCTTAGAGATTTGAATTTGTGCGTGTCTAAAAGCAGGGAGTTGAGTGAGGAAGGTCATGTGGGTAAAGGTGATTAGGATGAGTGGAGCTGTGTTTTGGAAAGGACCCAAATAAAGATTGGTTTGGGGGTGGGGTCCAGGCATCTTGGTAAAATTGGTTTTTAAGCATTGAGATCTCAGTCGTGTCTCAAGCATTTCATTTCTGGTAGCAAACTGTGCTAAGTTTTGTTAGTAACTTTGGTTTGTGTTGTACTTTATTGATATTCCTGTCTGCCGTCTCTGCTGGAAAGTGAGCCTTGTAAACCTATTCAAGGCTTGGGACCTGGCTAAGAGGGTCAGTTAAGACGCAGTACTGAATGAAGGAGGAAAGGTCTTTCTGGAGTCTAGCTTATGGTGGTTCACTGACAGGTGAGGCAGCTACTACAGTCGATCACATGGCTGCTTTGGGCAACACGAACTTTCTTCAGCTTTCTCCCGTTTCTTTCTCCCCTTTCTTTCTTTCTTTCTTTCTTTCTTTCTTTCTTTCTTTCTTTCTTTCCTTCCTTTCTTTCCTTTCTTTCCTTTCTTTCCTTTCTTTCCTTTCTTCCCTCCCTCCCAGATCTCATCAGTGACAGGGTCCTCTCTGGTGTTTCATTCATATGCTTTTCTGGCCACATTCTTTGCTTCCACTCCAGCTTTAGGCTTTTCTTGAGTGGTGGACCCCTCAGTAGTATCTCAGTAAGCTGTTCAGTTGCTTGTCCTTCTTTATTTATTTAGCAAAGGGTCTTGATTGAATTGAATGATCTTCCTGCCTCAGTCTCTCAGACGCTGGATTACAAGTGCTCACCGCCACGCTTGACTTTGCCTTCATTTCCTTTCCCCTGTGGGTTCCCTTTGGACCATGTTGCTTTTTCTTAACCACCTGGCAAACTTACTATTTTTTGAACTCCCGGGGTTTTCTCTTGGTGCTCAGTGTTTTGGTCTCTTGTACAGCTTCTGTAGTTGCATCTTTTATGCTGTTTGGTAAATATTTTCTGTGGATGACCTCCTCCAATCTGTCATTTCTTGGAAGTGGGGTGTGTGTGTGTGTCTAGATTTTATCTTTTTATTTTTATTCTTTTTTATTTTTTGAGACAGGGTTTCTCTGTATAGCTTTGTAGCCTGTCCTGGATCTCACTCTGTAGACCAGGCTGGCTTTGAACTCATAGATATCCACCTGCTTCTGCCTCCTGAGTGCTGGGGTCAAAAGTGTGCACCACCACTCCTGGCTTAAGGCTTTATCTTTAATAGTAAGCCTTATTGAAGTTGAAATACAATTAGAGAAAAATTATAATCCCTGTTCATTAATTCTTATAAACTGAACACCATGTATATTCACTAAGAAACAACAAATTGTTAGCATCCCAAAAATTCCCACTAATAGTTGACTTTATTTGCCCTTCTGCTTCTGTGTTTGTTTTAAAACCAGGTCATACTGTGCTGCTCAGGGTGATTGAGCTCTTAAAGTTCCTAAAAGAAAAAAGAAAGCCCTTTAAAAAAAGTACACATCTTAAGCCGGGCGGTGGTGTTGCACACCTTTAATCCCAGCATTTGGGAGGCTGAGGCAGGTGGATCTCTGAGTTCCAGGCCAGCCAGGTCTACAGAGTGAGTTTCAGGCCGGTCAGGGGCACACAGAGAAACCCTGTCTCCCCCGCCTCCCCTCAACAAACAAAACCACATTTTATTATTTTGTGTTTGTGTGCACAAGTGTGATGGTCAGAGGACAACTTGGAGAAGTGGATTTTCTTCTTCCAGTATGTGGGTCCCAGTGATCCAGCTGAGGTTGTTCGCCTGCTGCCTTTACCTGCTGAGCTACCCTGGCAGCCCAAAGCTTCCACTCTTACTTTTGAAACTCCAAACTGTGTAATCACATCGTGATTAGTTCTGGTTAGTCTTAAGGTGAGATTCAAGATCTTCTAAATTCTAGCTTTTACTTAAAATTTCAGACCAATTTTCTTTCATTAATTTTTTTTTCAGGGTGGGGACTGATGTAGTGGCTCATACTGCAGAGGCAGAATTGAATTCAAAGTCAGCCTGATGTACACAGGGAGTCCCAGACCAGCTAAGGCTGTGTGTGTGTATTAAGATTCTGTCTCAGAGCAAATTTTTTTTCAGTAATTAAATTTATGAATTTGTGCATGTACACACACACACACACACACACACACACACACACACACACACACACACACACAAGACAGCTTTTGTGAATTGGTTCTCTCTTTCCATCATAGGTTTCCTGGGAAATCTAACTTAGGTTGTCAGTCTAGTTAGTAACTGCTTTTACCCAATGAACCATTTGGAGGCCTTTAGTTCTTATTTTTGCCAGGTAGCCCAGAATGGTCTCACCTTTTTATGTAGCTGCAGATGACCTTGAACTTCTGAAACTCTGG